CGTACCGTTTATCCATCAATCTTAGGTTCCTCGTATTTTTCCTTCCTTTAGAAGCGTTACTTCGTCAGTATCGGTGGGAAGTGAGCTTTTGATAAGGAGTCTTTTTGTTTTTGTTGTTGTTTCTATTCTTCATCTATCTGAGATACGCGTTGAGTGTGAGTTTTTGATAGAAAATTTTTAATTTGTGAAATGTCATGTGCGCTATCTACCTGTTCACAGAAAATTTTCCAGGAGTTGCGCTTAGCGGTTCTCCTGTTTTGATGTATTTGTTTCCTTTTAGCGTACAGTTAGTTGTCCATTTTCGAAAAATTGCTTGCGGCGAGTTTCCGACCTTAACCTTTGTTCCGAATTTCCCCAGTCATCCAGGGGTTTTCGAAGACAGATTTCCTTTCTCGAAGTGGACAACATTTTTTGAAATATTTTACAATTATGTCTTGACGTTCCAATCTGTCTTCAGGGTTGAGTTGACTTAACCTATCAATTTTTGATGTTTATATTACATAACATGAATTATATATGATTTTTTGATGTATCATGGGTGTACGAATACGGATTTTGCATACTGTATCCTTATTTTAATATAGTACCCACATAAAAATCCGGCCTTTTTTTTATTTTGAACGTCATTAACGCAATTTCTTACGGGAGTGGCTGTAATATGGTTCTCAGTCCCATACAATACTTACTTTCTTACTTACGTTTGTTCCGAATTAAAAAAATTCCAGGCACGTCGGTCTTATGCGCAGAACATCCAATTTGAAAGACTATGTTCTGAGATGTTGCCTCCCACTTGATCTTTCCTTCAGGATTCGTGGCCTTCTGCGTGAGTTGAGTTGGGGTATCTTCATTCATTCTCACAACATGTCCTAGCCAACATAGTCGCTGCAGCTCGATACGTCTATGTCGATGTCCGAGAATAGATGGTGCAGAATAGATGTCGATGTCCGAGAATAGATGGTCGACGGCCATATTCACCGTCTACACAGATTGGCCCATAAATCTTCCGAATTTTTTTCTCTCAAAACTCCAAGAGTTGCCTCATCTGCTTGCGCAAGTACCCATGCTTCAGATCCATACATCAGCACGGGTAGTATCAGCGTCTTGTAGAGTCTGAGATTGGCCTGGCCAGAGGTGGCCGTGCTTTTGAGTTGCTTACTCAGACCATAGTAACATGTGTTGGCCAACACTATTCTTCTCCGGATTTCAAACCTGATGTTATTAGCTTTGCTTAATTTAATTTTCGGTATGTTGATGTTCCTAGCCCCGTTCTCTAATATGAGTGAGTTTTTTCGGGGCCAAAACGACCTAGAACACAACACTATAAAATAATCCACAAATAAAATACCCAGCCAGTTTTAGATATTTTTAAAGTTCATGTCATCGTGGAGGGTATAAACAGATTGAGCCCGCCGATATTTACCACGTTTTACATTTGTATTCTAATTGTGCTGGCGATCATTTAATGTTATTCAATGAATCTCCATTGACATCCCTAAAATGTATTGAGTAAAAGTTATTTCACGAACATTTCAAATGTCCATATGTGTATGTGTGTACGACGCGGTTTCCAGAGAGTTTGAAAGCGTCTGCGTTACGAACATTCTTGGGGACTTGGACAACAATACCTAATTGAAAGTAAAATGCATAAAAACCGAAACAAACCGTCAGGCTTTCATTCAAACTTTGCCCAAAAATAATACAAACTTATTTAGATATTAAAAAAAATATGCAGCAACTATTATCAAAGTTTGTATCAAAATCCAATTCGTTGATTTCTTTTATTAATTCGTACGAATGTTACAATAACAACAACAACACTTCAACGATGAACTAGGAAGGAAAGACAAACACAAAAAAGAACAAGCAAAATAACAATAGCAACAACAACACTCGTCTGACTAACGACGACAACATCAGCAGCAGCAGCTGCTGCTGCGCCAGCACCACCAGACAGACGACGACTTTGCTTTGAGTTCGTTTGTGAGTGGCAAATCAGTTTCGCAATACATACACAAACAAAAGGTGCTTGGAAAAAAATTCATAGCATACTTTGCGGCGTTGCATATCAAGTGTTGTGCAAAATAAAAAAAGAAGAAAATAATTTGTAATAACTTTTTTTTAATATAGTTTGCTGGCTGCTTAGCTAGCTGACTGACTGACTGGATTACCTTTAATTGACTTGGCTTTCCTAAAAAAAGCCTTGTCAATTCTCCGCGTTTGTGAGAGTGAGTGTCTCCTCGAAGTTAAAAGAGTTTAAACTGTTATCTTCTTCACTGGCTGGGCGAAGGCGAATGCCGGAGGGCCAGCAGCAGCATTTCATGTTGAGTTCCGCAAAGTAAAGTTCTTTAACAAAAAAATTTCTTAAGAATTTTTAATGATTATATCATAGCCATTATTTAATATAAAAGTGCGTGGGTGTTTGTGTGTGTGTGAATGTATGGCTAGCTGGCTGCTTGTCTGTCTGCCCCTCGACAACGATGTAGTATGTCTATATTTAAAAAGTACATATAAATCGTTTCATTATTATAACGCGAAAAATCGATTAAATGCCTGAACGAAAGAAATGCCAACCAATCGTTTGTTGTTGTTTCCAAAAGGACACACCATAAAGGACAATGTTCGTTGCCGGATATATAAGAAATTCTTAGAAATTGAAAAATTCGACACCGGTTATTTGTTTCAAGTGCAAATGTAAAAGACAAAAAAACGAAGAAAAACAATGAAATGTTTGTAATATTTTAAAAGAGACTTTATAAATTTAGAAAAAAAAGAGACTTCAATTATTTAGAAAATTTGAAAATGGATAAACATAAGGATAATATGCAATTGTGAAACCAAAATTAATTATATATGTATGTATATATTGTAAATATATTGACGAAATTGAGATCAAAAAAACAGGAATGTTCGCCATAATGTTTTACTATAAGTCTCAGAATAGACTAAAACTCAAAAATCAGCCTAAACGTGGAAAATTAAAAAAAATAATTTTTGGGTTTAAATAGTATTTATTACTAGTTTTTACCCATTTTTACAACAAGTGTTGTTTAAGAAGGAACAAAAATGTTCTCCATCAGTTTTTAGCCTTGTTGTTATTATATATAATTTTATAATGTAAATTTCCTAAAAAAAACTATTGAATATAAATATATAGTTTGTTTTGGGACTTGTAGTGGAATTTGACGTAGAATATTTTATTCTTTGACATAATATACCTAAAATTAAGTTTCATAATCTGTCGGAATTTCCCGGTAACTCCGGGAAACTTCTGCTAAGCGCTGTGTCATCGAAAAGACCTGCTTGGATGTTTTTGTAGGAGATTTTGGTTCCATTCGTCTTGCAGCACTTATTTGAGCATTTCCTTAGAGGTAATTTTGCGATCGATCGGATTCGTCGTTCCAGGGCATCCCATAGGTGCTCTTTTGGGTTCAGATCAGGGGACTGTGGCGGCGTTCTAAGCTGTGTAAGGACATTATAGAGTATCCAAAGCTTAACTATGTCAGCAGTGTGCTTGGGGTCATTATCCTGCTGGAAGTAGTAGTCATTCTCCAGACTCAATTTCTCCGCGCTCCTCTTTAAACTTGCCTTTACAATTTTAAGGTACGCATATTTATCCATAGTAGACTCGATGACTCACTACTAGCCATATATCATATAAAGTAAAGCGGAAGGTTTTACGCAGACTTTTTCTACTGAGTGTATATGCAAAATTTGTCTGCATTTGGTCTTGATGCTTGCAGTCTAAATCGAATAACTTGAGTTTTTTAGGGTTTACTGGTAAGCGGCTTAATCGTGCAAATTAAACTATTAAAGTGGCATCTCGTTCCGTAACATTTATTGAACCTATACAACTTCTTTCGCCACGAATTTCCAGATATTGCTTTCTATTTTTTAAATACCATAATATCTAATTTTATGTAACATTATATCGTGATCAACGAGATCGAAGGCATTTGTAAGATCATAAAATATTGCAGATACGCCATTGAATGCCTTATTAAGTTCACTGAAAATTGTGTGTGTCCAATTTACAACAGCATCTGATGTTCCACAACCTGTTCGAATCCCAAACTGAAATTCCTACATTAATCGTTTGTTTTCTAAAAAGATTTGCAGTTTATTAAATAAAAACGTCTCTATGATTTTATCAATTACCGACAAAACAGCGACCGGTATTCAAATACAGGGTGAGATAAAAAACTGCAACAAAGTCAAACGTCATAATTTTTATGCTGCCCGAATGTTACTCTGCGATAATTTGGCCCATTCCCGGCGAAGTGCTTGCTTGAGGCGACCGACAGACACAATAGTCCAACGGATTGGTATCCGGAGATTTTGGTGGCCATTGTGCGCTGGGTGGCGCGTGCTGAGTACGATGGTGCTGAGTCCTGTTGGAATGTCCAAGGTCTGCGGCCAAAATATTTGCGTACCCAAGGCTTTAATACACCCTCCAGAATATTTTCGCGATAATATTCGGCATTTATTCTGATGCCGCGGTCAATTACTACATCGGCTGTTATGCACATTTCAGCTGACCTCTTTGGAAAGTAAACACGATAATTTTGTTTGTTTACAAACTGCTATACAACGAATGTTTTCTTATCGGAGAAAACCAAATTCGACAGTTCACCACTTTCGGCCAAGCGAAGCAACTCTTTAGCTCTATTTTTTTCTGTTGCGGTTCTTGCACTTTTTGGAATTTCAATGGCTTTACCACGAGCTCAATTTTCAATATTTGCCGAATGTAATATTGCGATATGTTCAGCTCACGAGCTATTTTTTCGGCCGCTGCGACGTGGGTTTCGATCAAATAGTTTCTTTACTATTCGAACCATTTCAGCTGATGTTTCTGTATTCTTCTGTCCACTTCCTTGCCGTCGGACTACGCTACCAGTATCACGTTAACGAGCGATTATTCACATTTAAATGCTGGAGCGCTCTAACGATAACCACTTGTGGTTTTACAGCCAAATATAAAGAAATCACACTATCACGAATACTTTTTTTCTGGAAAATTCTCACCAAAATGCTTTTGTACGCTTGTAAACAATATAATGAGCTGTCACTGGAATAATTTTAACAGCTGTCGGACGAGTGGCTTAGAAATGACAGCAGTCTGAAGTTGGGTGCAGTTTTTTTTATCTCATCCTGTATATATTTTCATCTCATGCTGTATATCAGAGTTGAACAGAATTAAAGTGAGAGTAAGTGTGTGAGAGCGTAACTGAGACATCATCAAAACTGAAGAAAAGTGAATACGTGTTTAGCCATCACCGCTATCGATTGCTCTTTTGTGCATTAGTGCTGTATATACAGGATTTTTTGCCAAACTATATACGATATTTTCATGACCATAGCCCATTCAGCAACCTGAGTGTCTGATTTCGAGTTCACCGGTCTTACATTCTGTTGTAGCATACATATCCTTTTCGTTTTTTTACTTGATTATTACTTGGGCGCCAGTTATTTAACCCATTTGCGAAATTCCCCACTGTCACGTCTCCTACTAGTTGAAGGTCAATTAGAAATTTTAACTTTGAACTTGATATTCAAAATGTGTAGGCCATTAACAATTCCTCTTGCTATTTTCCAACGATTATTAAAATAAAAAGACAAATCGATTTAGTGTTACATATGACACTCAAACAAAAAGAAATCACAAAAAGTGTAATTTATATACCACTTCTATGTACTATATAAATAATTATATACACTATGTATATGTACACATACATATGTACAACGATTTCAGTACATTTCTGTGTAAAATTTATCATGAAATACACACTTGAACCTCAAACCACTGAAATTGCATCCGGCTTTTATATTAAATGGTAAAAAGAAGAAGAAAAATAGCAAACATACGCAATCCTATGAACAGCTTTGTGTGTGTGCTTGTGTTCTTTGCCGAATAAATATGCGAGAATTTGCAAACAAGATAATAAAAGAAAACATGGAAATAAAAGAATAGAAAAATAATTTTGCGCGTAAAGAACGGTAACATGAAACAATTTTTTATAATAAAAAGAAAAGGAAACGAAATAAATGAAACAAAGCCAAAGGAAAAAAAGCAAAAACAAACAACAGATATTAAAGTTACCGTTAAATAATGCAATGAGTGAATCTCAATCTCGCTCTTTCTTGCAGAGAGTGAATGTGGTGTGATGTCAATTTAGCGATTTTTTTCTATTTGAAATGTGAAACAAAAAATGAACATTGAATGAAACCGTTGTAAAATATGTGTAAATTTGCGTGTATTTTTATAAATTATAAAAAGAATTGTTAAAAAAAGAAGAGGCCAATATTAAAAAGGTCAAATGGAACCAGACTTCTGTGTGAAAAATTACAAACATTCTATTCTATAGTGTATATATTACACCTAAAGGACATAGACCCCAGAAGTTGAGTGATTGATCTTTAAATTTATATCAATTATATTGTTGTGTGTACTCAAATGTGCAGCTTATCCGATTTGAAAGACCATGTTCCGAGATGGTTTCTGTCTTCCATTTGATCTTTCCATCGGAATCGTGGCCTTGTTCTTGAATTGCTTACTCAGACCATAGTAACATCTGTTGGCCAACACTATTTTCCCCCGGATGCCAAAGCTCATGTTATTAGTTTTATTTAATGCGGTAACGAGGTATATAAAATCGTTCACTACCTCGAAGCTGTAGTTTCCAAGTTTCACAGTTGGCTCGAGTCTACTGGACGTCTTGCACTTTGATACCATCAGCTTGCTCTTCTCGCATTTACCGTCAGTCCCACTTTGACAGACTCCTTCTCAATTCGTTCAAAGGTGGATGTTACCGCTCGCAATGTTCGACCCATTATGTCGATGACGTAGGCGAGTAGCATGTGCTGTTTGGTGTACAGAGTGTCATTTCTGTTCACATTTGTATGTCGTATGACCTTTTTCAGTAGGACCTTGTCTGAATCTTCGTTCGGTATTGAAGGACACTACAAGGCCCTTTCCGACATTAACTGCCGAACTTGTGCCAGTTAAAATGCTTAGCCATATTAATTTAGCAGGAATGCCTAACGCAGACATTGCTTTAAAAACTTCTGAACGGATAGGGCTGTCGAATGCGGCTGTGTAGTCGACGAATAGGTGAAATGTGTCGATGTGTTTTTCGTGGTTTTTTTTCGGGATTTGGGGCAGTGTGAAAATCTGGTCTATGATGGATTTGCCAGGTCTGAAGACGCATTGGTATGGTTCAATAATGTCTTTGACCCTTGTCTTCAGTCGTTCACACATCACGCTGAATAGCCAATTTCTTTATAGTCAACACATATCGTCTTGTCTCCTTTTTTGTGCACGAGGTGCAGGATACTGAGGTTGCAATCATTGGACATGTATTCCTCTAGCCAAATTATCCTAATTAGTTGGTCCATGCTCCTAATCCGCGTCTGATCACCGGCCTTGAATAGTTCGGCTGGTAATCCATCGGCACCTGCTGCTTTTTTATTCTTCAGCCGATTAATTGCTATATCTTCTTCATACCCACTATTTGATACCTGAAGCTTTTCAAAATGCTCCCTCCAGATCCTCAACACGCTATCTGTATCTGCTACCAAGTTTCCATCTTCATCTCTATAGGAGGATGTGCCTGCAACAAAACCTTCGGTTTTGGTGTTTTACTCATTGGTAAAATTTCCGAACTTCGTTCTGACTCCGGTACATCTCGATTTGCTCATGCTCGCGTATTTTTTGTACTTTCTTTTTTCTTTTGAAAGTACGTTTCACCTCTCTCTCCTTTTCTTCCGACAATTCTATCTTGCATTGCGTGTTGTGGACTGTTTGCAGGATTGCCCTATACGCTGCGTTTTTTCATCTCAGTAGCATTACGACACTCCTGATCGTACCACGGGTTTTTTACATGGTGGTCTTTGGTATCCTAGAGTTGCTTTTGCTGCCGTTTGTAGAGAGTGGGTAATTATTTGCCATTGCACTTCTATATTATCATCGAGGCAAGGAGTGCTTTCGTCAAGCAGGTGGGTAAGTTGAGCTGAGTAGGATTCTGCTTTATGCTGTGTTTGCAGCATTTCGATGTCGAGTTTCCGTGTTACATTAAATCGCAACTTTGCTGCTACATTAAGACGGGTGAGAACCTTGTTTGCCACAATGTAATGGTCCGAATCGATATTCTCTCCTCGGATCGATCGAACGACTAAAACACTGGATGAATGCTTTCTTCTATCACAACATGATAAATTTGATTTCTCGTTGCTTGATTGTCGGATGTTTCTTCATGTAGGCTGAATTTTCCTACGGTGGGACCAAACATATTTTCACTTCCGATTTTTGCATTAAAATCTATTAGCAGAATTTTAATATCACGGCCAGGGCAGCGGTCATATGCTGTTTCTAGGCGATCGTAAAAGATCGATATTCGCTCCTCGGATCGACCGAATGTCTAAAACACTGTATGAATAACTTTTGTCCATCACAACATGATCAATTTGATTTCTCCTTGCTTGATCAGGAGAAATCCGTCGTCGGATGTTTTCCCTTCCGATTTTTACATTCCTAGCAGAATTTTAATGTCATGGCCAAGGCAGAGGACATATACTGTTTCTAGGCGATCATAAAAGATATCTTAGATGTGGTCATCTTTGTCTTCCATCGGAGCATGGACGCAAATAAGATTGATTTAGAAGAACTTCGCTTTTATACGGATTATAGCAATTCGCTCATCTGGAGAGGAGGTATTTTTTCTTTTATTAACCATAAATCCGCAGCCAAATTCATGTCTCGTTTCCTGGCAGCTACGCCAGTTCCTTTCCATTGCATTTCCTGTAAGGCATGCGAAAGCTGTTCTGTACAAAGTGCCCACATTCCAAGTGCATATTCGCAGATCGTAGTCCTTTATACGTTGGCGGGGGTCGTCTACATTGGGGGGATTGGTTTTCTTTTTCGTTGCTTTTCAACTCGGTGGGATTTTCCGAGTGTGGGTCACTAACCCAACGCCTAAACCCATTTTTTATAGTTCTTATGGTCGAATTCGCGGCACATATCGACTCACCATTTCAACGGATGATAAAAGTAGCTACCCCAGTTGACACTGCGGGGAGGTCAGTCCAGTCAACAATTGAAATGAAAGAGGGTCTTTGCCATGTTATAGCAAATCAGAGCCGTTGCTCGGTATATATCATGCCCTACGTCGATTGAAAGTTTCAATTTGAAACCCGTGCCAAATACACCAATTATTGTTGGAATCGCTTTATGGAAGCTACACCAAAACGTGGAACCATATGTTTCATTTCCACTACTAAAAATCCTTGGAGTAGTAGCGAGATGATGGGAATATTTCGATGTTTTGCGAACAAAGTGACATGCGGTATATAACTAGCAAAATAAAGCCGATAGTTCTTACAAAACAACCAAAAGGACAATCAGAAGTCGATACTCTGTAAATTGTGTTAAATTAAAATTATTTAACAAATGTAATCGATTTCCCCCGATCTCAAATTTTTAGCTTTTTTTATCAATAATACAGCATTAGCATCACTTACCGGTGTTCGAACATGACATTGAGAGAGAATGAATGCTTTGTTTCAATTCCAAATGTTTCAGGAAAGGAAAACACAAAATTGTTTGTTGTCCTGAAATGAAACGGAAAGAAGTAGAGAAAAACAATCGAGAGTGAGACAGCATTTGTGAGAGAGTAAAAGTTTTGTTTTTTAATTAAAATGGGGAGCCCTTTAAGGGTTGGAAAGTGAAATGGCTTTGTTTGTTTTCGTTAGTTGACTAATGTTGGCGGCACAGAGAAGGGGTTTTTCTACTTGCAAATAAATTAAAGAAATACGAAAAATTAATATGTTTCTACAAAGTATCAAATAAAATAATTAATTTTTAATAATTTGTTGTTGTGTTTTTCGTTCTAACCCAAAAGGACGGTACAGTGAATATGGATAAAATGACAGTGGCTCAAAAGAACGCATATTTGGAGGCACATATGGCAGTGCAACAGCAAATGGCCCAGGCGGCTATACAATTCAAACAGCAACAACAGCAGCAGCAACAACAACAAACGTCCAATACTAATCAAACACAACAGCAACAACAAAACTCTCCCAATAGCAATAATAACAACACTAGTAATAGTAATAATAATAGCAACAACAACAATAACAACACAAATCAACAATTACAACAACAGCAGCAGCAGCAACAACAACAGCAACACTATGCGAGCACCATTAAAGTACCACAAATAAGTTCCTCAAGTTCAGCCGGTAATGACAGCACCTTTACCGTACCCGATGATGTGGGTATGGGCTTTGAAGGTGGGGTGCGGGTTCTGCAGAGTCTGGGCACCTGGTCATCGGACAATATAACCTATAATATACCCAAGCCGAATTTGATACCATTTACAGAGCCCTATGTTGAGGGTGGTTCCATGCATCCGGCCAGCCGTCTCAAGGCACTGCAGCAGGTGCAGCAGGCATCTTCAGGTGTGCGAAAAGTTAATCCGTCTAAACGTAAGTCCAATCAAAAATCATATATTCAAAATTTTGTGTTAATTGTTGTTGTTTTTTATTTTATATTCCAGCCACCAACAAAGCATTTGAATGTACCGTTTGCGGCAAAGGATTGGCGCGCAAGGATAAACTCACCATTCACATGCGTATACATACCGGAGAGAAGCCTTATATTTGTGAAGTATAATTTTATAGATGCTCTCTTTACCTAGCCATTGACAAAAAATATTAATAATTTCTTCATCATATTTTTTCAGGTTTGCAATAAAGCTTTTGCTCGCCGTGATAAATTGGTCATTCATATGAACAAATTCAAACATGTCACCCCGACAAATATAGCCCCACTTGGGAAACGTCTCAATAATTTGGTGAAAAAGAAAGAACCCGAACCGGAGGACAATAAACAAAATTTGGAATTACAGCTGCAACAGCAAGCGGTCCAAGTGGCCGCTCAAAATATAATTGTCCAAACGTCAAGCGGCCAACATGGCGGTACAGCTCAGACTACAACAATACCCGGCATCATAATACCACATCATCATGCCCAACAGCAATTGTCGTGGACTTGTGAATTGTGTGGTCGGATGTTTTCCAATCGCGACGAATGGACACTGCATGCTAAGAGTCATTTGGAGGTGAGCAAAAGTCGGTAGTTTTTATGATTTTGAAGAATTGGAAGAATATGAGAGGTTGTATACATGTGATTTGGAATCTGATGTCATTGGTGTTGAAAATTGTGCAGAATTAAAACGGATAGAAAAAATCTATTTCGATAGAGGCGATTTTTTGCATATCATACTAATATGAGCCTAGAATGACATGTGTTAAGTTTTGTTGAAATCGGGGCAGATTTAGATACAGCTCCCACATATATATCCGTCCCATTTTACTATAAATTGTGCACAAAATCGGCTCAAAAACTAGTATAGTAGCGTCCGATGTTGACAACTCTTGGGAGTCAGTGATCTTCTCCTCGTATCTCCCATCTTTATTCGCTGGGGACTTCCCCCTCGCTGCTCCTTTTTGTGGCTTCACCTTTTCCAATCCTTGCCTTTCCGATTTTAATGTGCACTGCGTTGGACACGTAATGCGCCTTGTCCTGGCGCAAGACAAGCAAATGAAGACCTGTCGAAGCCTACCACAAGGATAATCCCTTCCTCGTTCTCCTCCCTTGTAGAAGACTTCCCACTTCATCACCAGCAGTATCTTGTTCTGTAGACTGAAAATATCTGTTCCAATCTTTGACGAAGACTGTAGCCTTTTGGAAATGAGGAATTTCTCTTTTCCTCACCAGCTTAAGGTTGGTTGTCTCATCTATTGGTTCAATACTTGCCACTAATTTCCTCAGACTTCTATGGTCTTTGGTGATTCAAATTCTAGCATTAGATAGTCCCCCTCGAAAGCAGCTATTTTCAGATTAATGGGGTCCCCTCCTTGAAGCAGGTGCCTCACGATCTTGTTTTTGACAGCATTCACAACCTTCTTATGGGTCTCCTTTTACAGCATACCGGACGCACTATTTATGTCGATTACTGCATAACAGAGCTCGTCTCCATAGCGCTTCTTGGTAACCTTCGCATACGCTGGCGGCTCCTTACAATCTATATCTGTTCTTTTTCGCAAATTCGGTTTTTTTCTTTTGGAATTCCCGGTCTTTGCGGAAGATCCGACACAGAGCTCGTTTTCCTGATATCAGAGCCAGCTTGGCCTTCCTTCGTCAATGGACTGTCGTGACAGTCTCCTTTGACGTTGGTTTGGCTCAGCATTCACTTCTTAACGGCCGATGGGAAGCTCATTTTCTTTTTAGCGGGGTTTACACTCATCTGCTCTTCCGGAGACCTTATCCTCTTCGCCTATTCTATTCCCACTAATTTCCGCAGGACTTCTATGCTCTTTGATGATTCCAATTCTAGCATTAGATAGTCCCCTTTTAAAATGCAGCTATTCAGATCTGTCGCTGTCCTCTTTCGCAAATTCCGATTGGTCCTTTTGGGATTCCCGGTGTTTACGGAAGATTGCGACTCATCGCTTGTCTTCATGATATCAGAGCCACCTTCGCCTTCCTTCATCAATGGATGTCGTGGCAGTCTCCTTTGACTTTTTCTCTTTCAGGAAGCTGTTTTTTCTTTTTAGAATGTTTGACACTTATTTGTTCTTCCGGAGAACTTATCCTTTTTGCATATTCTATGCTCTTTGATCTGTGTTATTTTCAGATCTTTCGCTGTCCTCTTTCACAAATTCTGGTTGGTACTTTTTGGGATTACCGGTCTTTGCGGAAGATTCAGACTCAACGTTTGTCTTCCAGATATCAGAGCCAGCCTCGCCTTCCTTCGTCAATGTTTTGGTTTCATTTGACGTTGGTTTGGACAGCTTCACTTCCTATCGGGAAGCTGTTTTACTATTTAGCGGGTTTGACGATCATCTGCTCTTCCAAGACATCCTCCGCTTCATTCTGATCGCCTTTGTGCCCCATACAACTGATTGTTCCTAGTTGTTAGTTTGGCGATATCTTTACCTCCTCTATCATATTGTCAGCCTCTTCTCTCTTCCGGATTTCCAAGATGGTCATGTTTGTCTGATTTTCTTGTTCAGACTTTGAATTTGAAGTTGAGTCCCCTCCTGACATCCTCCGCTTCATTCTGATCGCCTTTGTGCCCCATACAACTGATTGTTCCTAGATGTGAGTTTGGCGATATGTTTACCTCCTCTACCATCTTGTCAGCCCCTTCTCTCTTTCGTCTTTCCAAGACATTTATGTTTGTCTGATTTTCTTGTTCAGACTCTGAATTTGAAGTTGAGTCCCCTCCTGACTCGGAAGGGTAGGACGAGACTGCCCTTCCCTTGTGGTTTCTCAACTGTAATTCGGTTTTGCTCGTGGCAGAGTGCTTTTAGCTATACCTTCGACTACAGATGCTAAGACACCCACATCTGTAGGAGATTGTGGCTCACGATCGCAGAATAACTCATTTAAGTCTTGAATGATTTGGCTGATTTAGTCGTTGCATTTCCAAGTGATTTTAAAAATTCCCCCATTTTCTAAACAAGTAAGAAGTCATTTAGATTTTTACAGAAGTTTTGCCAATTTTTGGTAATCTCAGATTTGTTGAATCTTGCTAAATTATTGTTTTATAAGATCCATTCTCATCGTAAGCGAATAATAATTTCTACTCCCCTTTTTCCCTTTTGCAGTATTGACATCAGGAACAGGAAACAACGGATACTGGAAAACAAGCCAAAATGGCAAGTCAAAACAACTATCAAATGGATACAACTACGAACAGTAATAATAACAACAATAACAATAGTGGTGGTACCAACAGCAACAACAATAACAATAATAACGGCAACAATGATGAAATGTCACAGCGTAAAGAGAAGATAATCATACAAAATCAAATGTTTATCAATTTACAACAACATCAGCAGCAGCAACAACAGCAGATGACAGAAGTACAACAACAACAGCAGCAACAACAAAATGTGGTTAAGAGAGCACCAAAAAAATTAACCCAACCACCGGCCATTTTTAGTACAACCACCAACTCGGGAATAACGACTGTCAATGTCGACAATAGAGATGCCACATCCGCCAACAACAACAGCAGTAATACCAATCACAACAACAATGGCAATAATCAAGATGTAAATATTTGCTAAAATACTGATTAATTAAAAACAACAATAACAACAACACCACATTTCAACAGGAAACACATTAAAGAAACACCCAAAAAAATAAATAAATGACACTTCCTAAAAAATACTCCTACATATATAAACACACAGAGAGAGACTGACAACAACAATGACACCACCACCAACATATTCCCGTACTTAATATCGATCAAAGTCTTAAAACGCCCATTAATTTTCGTTTAATTAGATTGCCAACTTTATTGCAAATTCACCAACTGCCGCCACCTACGTCCAAGCCCAGCTGAATAATCTAAATGGCCTGAATATTCAGACCACAACGGAAACCCAACAACAGCAGCAGCAATCGCAACAACATCATCAGCAGCAACAACAGCATCAACAACAACACCATTTAACAACGACCAATGTCCCAACCTCAGTTGCCACTGTTGGTACTCTGCCCATTGTCACCTACAATGGCAATCAGTATTGTGTCATCACGCATACCGGTGATATCACGGGTGCATCCGGGTGCGTCGACAAGCCCGAATTATTACAACTTACAACCGATAAGGAGGGTAAAACCAATTTCATCCTAATGCAACCGACATCGACTGTAACGACTAGTGCGGGAACAGCAACAACAATTGGTATGCAGAATTGAGCTGGGAAATTGTTGTGTGCGAATGAGTGGACGAACCGTAGTTGTGTTAGAAGTTCGAGTTCAAAAATTATAGTATTAAATTAATGATCGTAATCGTAATGTATGTTGTAAGTTTTAGAAAGCGGTGGGAATTTTCCGGAATATATGTTACATGATCGTAATGTAATATTTTTTTTCTATATATATCTTCTTCACTTAAAAATCATTCAAAGGATCTTCGCACTTTCATGCAAAACTCCAATAAATACAAATTATTTCAGCTGAGCACGTCTAGGATTCGAACTTAGGTGCCCAGAGTAACCCAAATGTTGCTAGTTAGCGAAGCAGTTGTAGGTGTGTGGATTGATTATCCCTCGCTACAACAAAAATCTGCTTTGAATATGACTCTTGCTTGAGTGAAAACAAATGTCAGACCTTGAGACCTTGCATTGACTGCGATATAAATACAAGTTATCAACATATTGGTTCTTCCCCTGGCCTTTCTTTTCATTGCAAAACTTCGAAAAAAACTCACTTAAAATACATCTTCCTAAACTATTCAGGAAGATGTATTTGTAGTGAATTTGAATTTTAAAAAGCCTCATTTATCGAATTTCAAAATAACTTCCATAAACGACCTGTTTTACACCCCGTTCAGCTCTTGAGATCATTCACATTTTCCAGTTAAGTATATTTTAAGTCTGCTGTATCCTGGCCTACGAGATGCGGCTGCCATCTATCGTTGTCTAGAAAAAATGCCTCCTTGAATTTTGTACAGTGGTTGGGGTCATTGCTTAATTAGTATTTCAATTCTATTCCCCTGGATGGTTATTAGGGGTTTTCGGATACATTTAATCTGGAGGAGAATGTAAACCTCTTTTTATAAATATTCGAAAAGCACTTAGATCTTTCAAACTGACCTGGGAATATGAATTTTAAAAAGCCCGATTTAACGAATTTAAAAATAGCTTCCAAAAACGACCAGATTTCCACCCCTTTCCATTGTTACTGCTTTTAAGAGCATCCTCGTTTCTACTATAGCCTGCCCTAGGAGATGGGTCTGCCATCTATCGTTGCCTAGAACAAATGATTCCTTGAATTTGGTACAATGGTTGGGGTCACTGCTTATTTAATGTTTCAATTCTATTCCTCTGGGTGGCGCAATATCATGCCATCCATGCAATTTTCATTTATGAGGATGAATCTTACTGAACAGCTGAACCAATGATTTGCCCATGAGTAAGAAATCTGCTCCTGGTTTCTTGCATCAGAATAAACCCAAGAAAAGCTAGAGCTTCTTCAGGTCTTAGTCGATCGATTTTTGCCTTTGACTATTAAATAAATAACATTTGAGGTAGCAACCCTACAATATTCGCTCTGGCCACAATGCCATATTGTATTGACCAGAACTTTTAAACGGATACAGGGGCGTCCACCAGACAAACACCATTGCATAGGTCTGTGGTTTCCCGACTGACATGGAGTTGAGAATTCTATGTCCTCAAACGAACGCTGCTGGAACATCTTTGCTACTTTATTGAATGACAATTTTGAACTCATAAAAAGGCATGCCTATTGGGTTATGCATACTTTTGCTCGTTGATACTCCACTGTCACCCTTCCAAGGACTATCTGTAGACCACGACCTGATATAGAGGAATAAGTCTCCTTTCCATTGCATATAAAGTGCTATCCAGCGTGCTGTGTGAACAACTGACGCCAATGGTCAATGACATTATTGGACCATTCCAATGCGGCTTCAGGCCTGGCAAATCCACCATAGACCAGATTTTCACTCTGCGCCAGATCCTGGAAAAAACACGAAATACACATCGACACATTCCACATATTCGTCGACTATAAAGCCGCACTCGACAGCCCTATCCGTTCCGTGTTTTAAGCCATGTCTGCCTTTGGCATTCCTGAAAAATGAATACGGCTATGCAGGATAACTTTAACTGGTACAATGTCAGCAGTTAAAGTAGGAAAGGGCCTCTTGGAGCCCTTCAATACCGAACGAGGATTCAGACAAAGTGACAGTTTGTCGTGTGACCTGTTCAACATCCTGTTGGAAAGGGTCATACGTGATGCAAATGTGAACTGAAATGACACTCTGTAGTACAGTCGGGCGAACCACCGCACGCGCTCTCTCTCGCGAGAGTAAGTATCACTATTCTCTCACACATATTCAACTGAACCAATTGAAAAACCATTGACACACACACAAAGACAAGTGCGTGAGAACAGAATTTTTTATGCACTGGCCGTGGCTGCTCTGTACACCAAACAGCAATTACTCGCCAACATCGACATAATCGGTCGAACATTGCGAGCAGTAACAGCCAATTTTGAACGAATTAAGGAGTCTGCCAAAGTGGGACTGGCAGTAAATGGCGAAAAGATCAAGCAGATGGTATTAACGCGCAAGACGTCTAGTAGACTCGGACCAACTGTGGATCTTTAAAACTACAGCTTCGAGGTAGTGGACGATTTTATATACCTCCGTACCGCCATAAACAAAACTAATAACATCAGCAGTGAAATCCGGAAGAGAATAGTGTTCTCTAACAGATGCTACTATGGTCTGAGTAAGCAACTCAAAAGCAAGGCCAGCTCTCGCCAGACCAAACTCACACTCTACAAGACGCTGATATTACCCGTGCTGCTGTATGAATCTGAAGCATAGATGAGGCAGCTCTTGGAGTGTTTGAGAGAAAAATTCTCCGGAAGATCTATGGGCCGATTTGCGTCGATGGTGAATATCGCCGTCGAATGAACTATGAGCTATACAATCTATTCTCACACATAGTCAGACAGATCGAGCTGCAACGACTACCGTGTCTAGGCCATGTTGAGCGAGTGGATGAGGATGCCCCAGCTCAAAAGGCATATAAAAGCGAGCCAAGTGATGGTTCACGTAGAAGGGGAAGGCCACGAATCCGATGGAAAGATCAAGTAGAAGACAATATCTCGGGAAATGGTCTTTCAAATTGGATGAGATGGTTTCGGTTTATGGAACAACCGTTCTGTCATAAGTAAGTAAGTATGGATCGTAGGATTAAACAAGTCGTGTAATAGTACGTTTACATTGTACCGGATTTCGTTAACCCAGTGGGTTATCAATTCCATTGTATACATGTCAAATAAGTCCTCATAGAGTAGGTTAACCCGGTAAAAAATTCTAATGAAATTGCCTAGAAGCGGTTATTATAGGCAATTTGGAATTTGGCGGTCTTAATTACATTTTCCGCATTTTCCTTGTATTTTTCGAATCCCCATACTATCAAATATACATAACCTCACATTACATTACGATAATTTGTCGATAACGTTGTAAGAGTTGCCATCCAATTGTAGTTTTTTTTAATTTTTTGTTTACATATTTGTATTACTAGTGTTGCCAGTCAATTGTAAATAGTCCATTTAAACTATAGACCGAACCTAAACCCCAAAAAAACGTTTAATTCCATAAATAATAAGTAGATTGATAAAAAAAACAAAACCGAACCGAACGACTGCAAGGAGATGAATCAAATGACACAAAAAAGGAAAAAAAAACAAAAAAAATTATATGAAGAAAATTAATTTTCTCTTTTTGAATTGGCTAAACAAAAAAATTTGTAGTTTTGCATGAAATGCTTTTTAAAAAGAAAAAATAAAAAACAAAAAAATTGTAAATTATGGTACATTTTGAAAATGGAAATTTTAATGTATCCTAAAAAAAAAAAACAAGAAAATGAGAAAAAAATAAAATTTTACATATCCGGCAAATAAAAATTTCGATAAAAAAGGAAACTATTTTTATAAACCACTCCTTTGATGTTGTGTTCTTTTATTGATTTGGTTTTTAATATAGAAAGCTATTTAATTTTATTTTAAATAGATTATTTTTTGTGTTTATTTTTAAAATGAGAAAAAAATAGTTTGTTAAGAAGAAGTGTTTTGACAAGGTTAAGAAAACCCCTAATTTCATTTAAAAAAATAATTTTATTTTTCTATAGAAGGTGTATTACACAATTAGGACTTGGTCCTTGCATAAATCCTAATCTTTTTCAAAACACTTTCTGGGCAGACTGTCTAATTAGCAACTGAAAAACAGAAGAAAAACACATACATATACAGTGACTAACTATTCAATGGAAACATTTTTTTCGAATTTTAATTTTTAAATCTAAAAAAAATAAAAGAACAAAATTTATAAACTTACCAACATATTTTTTATAAATTTTATAACATTAACTTATAAGAAACTATTTTTCCTCCAAGATTACGAAGAAAATTAAAAATATTCAGTTTTGAGATATTGACGAAGCAATGAAACATAAATACAGTATTTTTCGGTTAATTGACCCTACGGTTAATTGGTTTCCACGCTTAATTGAACCACATGATTGGGCAAATAACCACATGATTGGATAAATAAACCCTGTTAATTGATTTTCCCGCTTAACTGGTTCAAAATTCATGTCATCAAAAATAAAATTCCTTTTACTTTTCACAGGTTAATTGCATAATAATAGTTGAAAAATAATCTGGCATTTTTTTACATACATATTTGACATAATTTCTGAAAAATACTAGGTGGCATCTCTACTAATTCAAAACATATGTTTATTGCTAAGGAAAATCTGCGAGAAAATACTGTATTAATTTAAAATACAGTCGACTCCGCTTTACTGAAACGGAAAAAAATCTGAATGTCTGTTTCTGAAATTAAGTTCAGTTATCCGAACTTATCATAACATTTTTTTCAGTTTTAGGAATTTCATAATTCTTATTTTTTCATCGAATTCGTAGGTTTCGAATTTTATGAAAATAGGCGATAGAAATTGGAATTGGTTGACATGTTCAAAGCTTAAGGGATTTTTATTATGAACTGTTTTTTTATGCGTATTTTTAAAATACGCGGCTTGTAACGAATCTTACTTATTATGTGGTCTATAATATAATATTTATTATAGATTAAAAACGGAAAATATCGGCCCATGCTTTTGAAAAGGTTTTATACTAACCGATTTAAG